ATTGCTTAATTTGATGGGGTGTGTTTTATTGCCACGTCCACGCAGCATTGGATTTTGCCGGAGTTTGTAATCTGCCTTGAGTCCCCTGCGGGGTAGAAATGAAGTAAATAGCAATAGATGGGGTGTCGAGGTGTTGGAGATACCCGGGTTCAAATCCCAACGAAAGGCATGGAAGTCACAGGGAGATCGTGGGTCCAGTGGCCTGGTTGTGGAAACAAAGTGTGGAGAAGGGGAGCCACGAACACCTCTGAGGGCTTACCACTTCAGGCCACAGTTTTCCAAGACCAGCTCTTCCAAAGTCACCGACTGACCGAGCACCCGAAGGATCTGCTTCAGAACATCCAGACTCTACAGCAGGAGAAGATTGCTCCATCAAGCCTTGCAAGGTCACTTTGAGGCACATCAATCACATTAGGTAACTGGGAGAGCCTGAGCATAGACCTCCCAACCTCTAAGGTTGCCTGCCATGGATGTAGGTGAAATGTCAGGAGAGAATGCTTCTGGAACATGGCCAGACAGCCCAGAAAACCTACAACAACCCAGTGATTTCAACCATGGAAGCCTTCAACAATACAGGCTTAGTATCGTTATTTATTGATTATTATTTATTGACCATATTTATATACCGCCTTTCTCAGCCCGAAGGGGACTCAAGGCGGTTTGCAAACTGCACAATTCGATGCCTCCAATAACAAAGAACAATTAAAACATTTAGAATAAAGAACATTTGATAAAATAAAACCAATAAAAGTATTATTATTATTATTATTATTATTATTATTATTATTATTATTATTACTAGCCGTCCTCTGCCACACGTTGCTGTGGCCCACATGGGGGTTCTGTGTGCCAAGTTTGGTTCAATTCCATCATTGGTGGGGTTCAGAATGCTGTTTGATTGTAGCTGAACTATAAATCCCAGCAACTACAACTCCCAAATGACAACATCATTTTTTTGAGTGAAGGACATACATTGGGTTGTTAGGTGCCTTGTGTCCAAATTTGGTGTCTATTCATCCAGTGGTTTTTGAGTTCTGTTAATCCCACAAATGAACATGACATTTTTATTTATATAGACTAGCCGTCCCCTGCCCCACATTGCTGTGGCCCACATGGGGGTTCTGTGTGGGAGGTTTGGCCCATTTCTATCATTGGTGGGGTTCAGAATGCCCTGTGATTGTAGTTGAACTATAAATCCCAGCAACTACAACTCCCAAATGTCAAGATCTATTTTCCCCAAACTCCACCAGTGTTCACATTTGGGCATATTGAGTATGCCAAGTTTGGTCCAGATCCATCATTGTTTGAGTCCACAGTGATCTCTGATGTAGGTGAACTACAACTCCAAAACCAAAGGACACTGCCCACCAAACCCTCCCAGTATTTTCTGTTGTCATGGGAGAACTGTGTGCCAAGTTTGGTTCAATTCCATCATTAGTGGGGTTCAGAGTGCTCTTTGATTGTAGGAGAACTATAAATCCCAGCAACTACAGCTCCCAAATGACAAAATCAATTTTTTGAGTGAAGGACACAGATTGGGTTCTTTAATAAACTACAAAACCTACAGCCTTGGTGTGTGTGGTGTTCTGAGCAAGGTGAATCTAGCCTGAGGTGTGACAGTTGGGATCGTCTTCATAAGAGTGGCACACTTTGGACCTATGCCCTTCTCTTTAATGTCGTCCCACTTATTCCCACCCAAACCTTGCAACCAACCCCACTGGAGATTTCTTCTTCACTTTTACTCGCTCTGCTGCACTCACCAGTTTGCAGTTCTTGCCACTCAGCCCTTTGAACCACCGATTAGAAGACAGGACGGCGACACTAAGAGCCACATCCCTGGAAGGGGACAAAGACCTCAATACGAAATACCATTTATTCATACCTTGTTATGTTTCTCATAGGACAGGGATATTTATTTCAGCTAAGCTTCTGACAAAGAAGCTCCATTAGCAGAAGGAAGGAAGGTAGGTCGGTCTTGGGCAGCCACAGATGCAGGTGAAACATCAGGAGACAATGCTGCTAGAACACAGCCATACTTTTGGAAAGGCATGACCTTGTTAGAAATCATAACTTTTTGGAAAACCACTAGTGTATTTCTAGGCACAAAGATGACTGCAGACACAGATCGCAGCCAGGAAATCAGGAGAAGCTTACTTCTTGGGAGGAGAGCAAGGACCAATCTCGGTAAAATACTTAAAGAGGAGAGACATCACACTGGCAATGAAAATCCACATAGTCAAAGCCATGGTCTTCCCTGTAGTAGTCACCTACGGATGTGAGAGATGGACCTTAGGGAAGGCTGAGCGAAGGAAGAGAGATGCTTTTGAGCTGTGGTGTTGGAGGAAAGTGCTGAGAGTGCCTTGGACTGCGAGAAGATCCAACCAGTCCATCCCCCAGGAAAGAAAGCCCGACTGCTCATTGGAGGGAAGGAGACTAGAGGGAAAGTGGAAGTCCTTTGGCCACATCAGGAGGAGACAGGAAAGCTTAGAGAAGAATATGATGCTAGGGAAAATGAAAGGAAAAAGGAAGAGGGGCTGACCAAGGGCAAGGTGGGTGGATGGTATACTTGAAGTGATTGGATTGACCTTGAAGGAGCTGGGGGTGGCCACGACTAACAGGGAGCTCTGGCGTGGGCTGGTCCATTAGGTCACGAAGAGTCGGAAACGACTGAACGAATGAATAACAACAGCAACATACCCCTATCTGTCATAGAATCATAGAATCATAGAATCAAAGAGACCTCATGAGTCATCCAGTCCAACCCCCTGCCAAGAAGCAGGAATATTGCATTCAAATCACCCCTGACAGATGGCCATCCAGCCTCTGCTTAAAAGCTTCCAAAGAAGGAGCCTCCACCACACTCCGGGGCAGAGAGTTCCACTGCTGAACGGCTCTCACAATCAGGAAGTTCTTCCTAATGTTCAGATGGAATCTCCTCTCTTGTAGTTTGAAGCCATTGTTCCGTGTCCTAGTCTCCAAGGAAGCAGAAAACAAGCTTGCTCCCTCCTCCCTGTGGCTTCCTCTCACATATTTATACATGGCCATATAGTCCCTGTCTCACATATTTATACATGTGCCCCGGAGTGTGGTGGATATACATGGCTATCATATCTCCTCTCAGCCTTCTCTTCTTCAGGCTAAACATGCCCAGCTCCTTAAGCCGCTCCTCATAGGGCTTGTTCTCCAGACCCTTGATCATTTGAGTCGCCCTCCTCTGGACACATTCCAGCTTGTCAATATCTCTCTTGAATTGTGGTGCCCAGAATTGGACACAATGTTCCAGGTGTGGTCTAACCAAAGCAGAATAGAGTCACCTGCCTTGTCATTGTATAATTGGCATTGAATGTTTGCCGTATACATGTGTTCTGCGATCCGCTCTGGGTCCCCTTCAGGGTGAGAAGGGTGGGATATAAGCCCTGTAAATAAATAAAGTATATTCCTCTTGAGAGACTCACTGGCTGGGCAGGTGGATGAAATCCAGCAAGTTGAACTCCCGGCATTCTTGGCGGTGATACAGATTGTCCACGTTCTGGGGCGAAAAGACACATTGTGGAAATAACACTTTCAAACCAGGAACAGATATTTTCCCCCAAATTGTGTTACATAGTGTTACTACTACTACTACTTGTTACACATCTCTTCAGCCTTACCCACTGGATCTCCTTTTGGAAAGGGAGGCCGCTGTAATCACAGAGCGCAGCGTACGTCTCCGAGAACCCTCCTGAAAACAGAAGAGTTGTGGATACCAATTAGATTAAGGAAGAGTCATTCCGTGAAAGTAGAAGAATAGAACATACATAAAACTAAAATAAACCCCAAGGCAGGTGTTTTTGCAAGTGGCTCACAAGCCTAGTATCACCGCATGAGTTGGTATAGGACCACTTCAAAATAGATAATTTGGATTCAGAAACTGGATTATATGGCAGTGTAGATGGGGCCTCAGGGAAATAAAGACTTTGAGGTTTTTTTATCCACTGCCTTCCCCTCCATTAATAAATAGAGAAAAAGATCTAGCAACAGGTCTTTCTGAACCAAATTTAGACACTCTTGAAGAAGAACCAGAAGAAGAGAATGAAGAAGAAGATGACGGAAACAATTATGGGCCTTACTCTGGAAATAAAATGTTTTTCAAACAATGTAAATGGGCTTAAGTCTCCCAATAAAAGAAATAAGCTGTATCTGTTGGAAACTAGGAAAATTGGGTTTATATATCTGTGGAATGATGTCCAAGGTGGGAGAAAGGACTCTTGTCTGTTGGATGCAGGGGAATTCTAGACAAGAATCAACCAGGGCCAGCTAACACCTCCCAACAAAGGACCCCCCCAGGCAGCAACCAGCCAAGGTGGGAGAAAGAACTCTTGTCTGTTGGAGGCAAGTGTGAATGTTTCAACTGGCCACCTTGATTAGCATTTGATGGCCTTGCAGTTTCAAGATCTGGCTTCTTACTACCTGGGGGAATCCTTTGTTGAGAGGTGATTAGCTGTCCCTGATTGCTTCTTGTCTGGAGTTCCTCTGTGTTTGAGTGTTGTTCTTTATTTGCTCTTATAATCTCAACAGAAAGGAAGAAACCATGAAAATGAACAAAAGCTGGCGACCAATATTAAAAAAAATCTAGAATTATAGCAGCAAATAAAGAACAATGCTCAAACACAGGGGAACTCCAGACAAGAAACAATCGGGGACAGCTAATCACCTCTCAACAAAGACCTCTCCAACAGACCTCACAACCTCTGAGGATGCTTGCCATAGATGCAGGTGAAACGTCAGGAGAGAATGCTTCTAGAACATCACCATATATATAACCCAAAAAGCCTACAACAACCCAGAGAAGAAAGGAATGAGAGAGAGAGAGAGAGAGAGAGAGAGAGAGAGAGAGATTACCGCACGGGCCTCCGTTTTCCCTCAGAAAGTTTTCCAAAGACTCTGTCGTCTCTTGAATTTTCTCAAGCAAACTGGGAGATGCATTTCGGAGTATGTTCCTTCAATACAAAGAATGCAATAGAGACTAAACCACTGTGTTTAAAAAAGTAAACACAACGACATTATTAATATGGCATTTTTACATGGGATGGGGTGAGCTCCCGTTTTTAGCCCCAGCTTCTGCCAACCTCGAAAACACGCAAATGTGAGTAGATCAATAGGTAACGCTTTGGCAGAAAGGTAGCTAAAGATGCTCTATGCAGTCATGCCAGTGGCCACATGATCTTGGAGGTGTCTATGGACAACGCCGGCTCTTTGGCTTAGGAATTGAGATAACACTCCCCCCTCCCAGAGTCAGACTTGACTAGTGTTCATTGGCTACTAATATATTATTTACTTTCTGAAAATCCGAAAGACCTTGCAGTTGATGCCCTATTCATTGGAATTGACCTTGGCCCATGGGCTGCCATTTTGAGCACATCTCTTTGACGGTGTGACAAGAGTCATGCAGTTTTCCCGTTGTTGTTGTTGTTGTTGTTGGGCTGCCATTGGCAGCATTTCTCATTATTAGCGGATTGTAGCGCAACTGATTGGGAGTCAGCTGCATTAAAATCACTACTGACTGAAAGGTCATGAGTTCGAAGCCAGCCCGGGTCGGAGTGAGCTTCCGGCCATTAGTCTAGCTTGCTGTTGACCTTTGCAGCACGAAAGACAGTTGCATCTGTCAAGTAGGAAATTTAGGTACCGCTTATGCGGGTAGGATAATTTAACTAATTTATGATGCCATAAAAATCTCCAGCAGCATGCAAAAGAATGAGGAAGTACTCCATCGGTATCACAAGTGGTCAGTTCCCTTGGTTGGCACCATTTTCTGTAGCTGGTGGTTTGACCCACTGTGCTAACCCTTTCCTCTCCCCAAAGGGGACTTAAAGCAGCTAAATATGCATGAACAAAATGTGAATTATTGTGCCAACAACAACAATGAATCCTCTTTGCAATTCCTTTGGCAGCATTCCTCATTATTAGCGGGTTGTGGAGCAGCTGATTGGGAGTCAGCTGCATTAAAATCACTACTGACCAAGAAGTCATGAGTTCCAAGCCAGTTCAGCTCGGAGTGAGCTTCTGGCCATTAGTCTAGCTTGCTGTTGACCTTTGCAGCACGAAAGACAGTTGCATCTGTCAAGTAGGAAATTTAGGTACTGCTTATGTGGGGAGGCTAATTTAACTTATTTATGACGCCATAAAACTAGCAGCGTGCAAAAGAATGAGGAAGTACTTCATCAGTATCACAAGTGGACAGTGAAGTGACCGCTCCCCTGGTTGGCGAGATTTTCTGTAGCTGGTAGTTTGACCCACTGTGCTAACCGTTTCCTCACACCCCCCCCCCCCCCCAAATGGACTTAAAGCAGCTAAATATGCATGAACAAAAAGTGAACTATCATGCCAACAACAACAACAACAACAACTCCTCTTTGCATTTCCTTTGTTTATGGTCATGGCACTGCAGAGACCTGATGGTGACCCTCTTACCCAAGTGAAGCATCTGGAAAGGCTTTCTGCAGAGATGCCACAATGTGGACAGCCACGTGGTCCAAATCGTCCAGCGAGAAGAACTTGAATTCAAAGGCAGATGTATCTGTTTCTATAACAAACTAGACAAATTGGGAAGGAAGGAGAGTGACGCGAGAGTCACTGGCTGAGCCTGGGACTTTTGGATACTGTTACATTTTTGAGTTATGCAGGTGCTTGCAGAGAAGAGTGTGTGCATGTGAAATGTAAGATAAGATGTACAAAGCTGATTAGCTGGGCAACGGCCAGGGAGATGGCTGAGCCTGGGACTTTTGGGTACTGTTACATTTTTCAGGCTTGAGCTAGGCAGGTGCTTGCAGAGAAGCTGAAAAGAGAGACAGAGAGACAAAGTTTGGAGTGTGCTCTTGCTTCATGAGTTGCTGGAAGGAGTTTATCCACAAGGATAATAATAATAATAATAATAATAATAATAATAATAATAATAATAATAATTATTATTATTATTATTATTATTTATATTCCGCTTTATCTCCCCAAAGGGACTCATTTTAAATCTCTCTCCAAAAGGACATTATGTGAGTTGATGCAACTGATCATATGATTGTACATATGTTGTTCTTAGCTACAAAAGTAAACTACTTGTTCTTTACTGTTCATCTGTTTGGCATATTTTCTTTCTCTGGCAAGACAGTGTGTGGGTTGATCAAACGTGAATTACACATCATTTTCATTTCGTCACAGATGTCACTTCAGGAAACCTTTGCCTATGTACCTATGAGCATAGGGAACTAGAGTATTTGCGCATAGGTACATTATAGCTGTTTAATACATAAGACGCCCATTAAAGCAGTACAGCTCAAACTGGGGGTTCCTGGACGGGTGCCGGTCCCCAACTTTGGCACATTGCTGTGTTTACAATGTCTGGGAGGATGAGGCAATGCCCGATTTTGGGCGTTATTCCAACCTGCCTTGCGCTCACCTGGTTTGCTTCTCCCATTGTCATGGACTGTACGGCCAGGAAGCTGAAGCTCGCTTGTACCTGCGGACAGGTAACAATCTGAGTTAAAACCACAAAGAAAGGGTTACATTATATGCAGATTACAGACTATTATAACCAAGACAAGAAAATTGGTTTTAATATACAAGAATCAAGTTGGGATAAAATTCTTTTAATACAGAGAAAATTAATAACTAAAATTTATAATAATTTACTAGATCGGGTAACTGAAACAGAACGGATAAAAAACTGTATGATTAGGTGGGCTCAAAATATAAAGAGACCCATCCATTTAAGAGAATGGGAATCAATATGGAACAAAAAGATAAAATATACCTATGCGATGGATTTAAAAGAAAATTGGCTTAAAATGTTTCATAGATGGTATATTACACCAAAAAAAAAAAAAGGTTTAATGTACACAGATATGGACAACAAATGTTGGAAATGTTACAAGGTCAAAGGTAGTTTTTTTTCATATGTGGTGGACATGTAAGAAAGCACAAGAATATTGGAAGAATATTCACGAAGACACACAGAAAATATTAGGAATTACTTTCCAAGAAAACCAGAATACTACCTATTAAATATTAGAGACTCAGATTTTGCCCTAGACCTAAATAAAGACATACATAGCAACCTCCGCAAGGATTGTATATGCAAAGATTTGGAAAATGGACAAAATACCAGGATTGGAGGATTGGAAAGATAAGATTCAAGAAATTAAAGATATGGACAAGTTAACTTTTTTGTTGAAAAAGAATACGGGAAATCCTATAAGAGAGACAGACTGGTCGTTTTTTATTCAAGTTGCGGATGCTCTTTAAAGGGAAAGAGGAAGAAAAATTAATTTCCTTGGAAGAAAATAAACAAGATGGAAATAATACAATAAGACAATTAAATTGCTAAGCAAAGACACAGAATGGAAGTCAACAAGACTATTTTTTCCTTTTCTTTTTCTCTTTTTTATCTCTTTTTTATCTCTTTTTTCCTTTTTTTAAAAAAATGCCTACTTTCCTTAAATCACTCTTCACCCACTTTCCTTGTACACTTTATTACTTATTTTACTTGCATATATATACAAATGAATGATTCAATAAAAAATTATTTTCAAAAAAAAAAGAAAGGGAAAAGAACAGTTCATGTTCAAAGGTAAACTGGTTCCAAAAAAAAAATAATCCCTTAGGTCAGTGGTTCTCAACCTGGGGGTCGGGACCCCTGGAGGGGTCACGGGGGAGTGTCAGAGGGGTCACTAAGGAGCATCAGAAAACAGTATTTTCTGTTGGTCATGGGGGTCTGTGTGGGAAGTTTGGCCCAATTCTATCATTGGTGGGGTTCAGAATGCTCTTTGATTGTAGGTGAACTATAAATCCCAGCAACTACAACTCCCAAAATGTCAAGGACTATTTTCCCCAGACTCCTCCAGTGTTCACATTTGGTCATATTGAGTATTCGTGCCAAGTTTAGTCTAGATCCATCATTGTTTGAGTCCACAATGGTCTCTGAATGTAGGCAAACTACAACTCCAAAACTCAAGGTCAGTGCCCACCAAACCCCACCAGTATTTTCTGTGTGCCAAGTTTGGCCCAATTCCATCGTTGGTGGAGTTCAGAATGCTCTTTGATTCCAGGTGAACTATTAATTCCCAGCAACTACAACTCCCAAATGGCAAAATCAACCCTGCCCCCCCAACCCCACTGGACTGATAGTTGGGCATATCAGTCCAGTGAATGAAAATGCATCCTGCATGTCAGATATTTACATTATGATTCATAACAGTAGCAAAATGACAGTTATGAAGTAGCAACGAAAATAATTTTATGGTTGGGGGTCACCACAACATGCGGAATTGTATTAAGGGGTCGCGGCATTGGGAAGGTTGGGAACCCTTAGGTCTTGTTGTTGCAGCAGATGGAAAAGGAGCTGAGCGTTGAAGGCACGAAGCATTTGGATTTGGAGCAGTGGTTCTCAACCTTCCTAATCCTGCGACTCCTTAATACAGTTCCTCATGTTGTGGTGACCTCCAACCATAACATTATTTTCATTGCTACTTCATAACTGTAATTTTGCTACTGTTATGAATCGTAATGTAAATATCTGATATGCAGGATGTATTTTCATTCACTGGACCAAATTTGGCACAAATACCCGATATGCCCAAATTTGAATACTGGTGAGGTTGGGGCAGGGGGGTTGATTTTGTCATTTGGGAGTTGTGGTTGTTGGGATTTATAGTTAACTAACAATATAAGAGCATTCCGAACTACAACAACAATGGACTTGAACCAAACTTGGCACACAGAACTCCCATGACCAACAGAAAATACTGGAAGGGTTTGGTGGGCATTGACCTTGAGTCTGGGTGTTGTAGTTCACCTACATCCAGAGAGCATTGTGGACTCAAACAATGATGGGTCTGGACCTAGCTTGGCACAGATACTCAATATGCCCAAATGTGAACACTGGTGGAGTTTGGAGGAAATAGACATTTGGGAGTTGTGGTTCCTGGGATTTATAGTTCACCAGCAATCAAAAAGCATTCTGAACACCACCAATGATAGAATTGGGCCAAACTTCCCACATGGAACCCCCATGACCAACAGAAAATACTGTGTTTTCTGATGGTCTTTGGTGACCCCTCTGACACCCCTTCGCCACCCCCCCAGGGGTCCCGACCCCCAGGTTGAGAAACACTGATTTGGAGCATCGGAAGTGGGCAGGGAAACCATCCAGAAATCTTTAGAACACCCCAAATTGTTTGGAAATATTAGCTGTTTACAAGAAACATTGCCCCGAGGATGCCCAACTCACTCAGTCTTTGAGAAGGCTCTTTCCATGACGCATATCTATTTATTGATGTAGGCAATGCTTTTGACACAAAATAAACAAATCCCGAATGATGCACTCCACAGACAGAGCAGAAGCCATTGGTTGAGGACCTGATCACAATGCAATATACGCCTTTTATATCATTGTTTTTTTCTGACCTGCCGCATACTGTTTTCAGATGGGATGCATACTGATCCCATCACACCCAAATGCAACAGTGTTTACCTTTGGAAAATACTCTGCAAATAATCCATTTCTGTGATACTTTGCAGACGGATTACCGACGGGATGGGGCGAATGTGATATGATGGGACCCGTTTGAAATAGGCCTCAAACTGTATCAGAAACGGGGTATTCCCTAATGTAATGAGGCCCTGCAACAAGAGGCCACAAAGAAGAAGAAAATGGAAAAACTAGGATGAGCAGAGTCTGTCGTGAATTGCCTTGCAATGGTATTGGCCTTCATGGACCCCCATTACTAGCAGCCCCCAGTGACACAGTGGGTTCAACCCTTGGGCCGGCAGCAGGACTGAAGGCCAACAGGTCAGAGGTTCAAATCCAGGAAGAGCATGGATGAGCTCCCTCTGTCAGCTCCAGCTCCCCATGCAAAGGGTACATGAGAGAAGCGTCCCACAAGGATGGTAAGACATCAAAGCATCCGGGCAACATCCCCTGGGCAACATCCTGCATCTGCATAGCTCAAGCCTGAAAAATGTAACAGTACCCAAAGGTTCCAGGCTCAGCCATCTCCCCGGGCTTTGCCCAGCCAATCAGCTTTGGACATCTTGTTTTACAGTTGACACACACACACTAACTGATTTCTTGCATGGGCCAATGTCTGTCCCCTCATTTTCTCATACAGAAGCTAACTGGGAGATCTCCTAGAAAACAGGCTTGTAAATGTCACCTGAGAGTTGGCATGGGCAACGTCCTTGCAGACGGCCAATTCTCTCACACCAGAAGTGACTTGCAGTTTCTCAAGTCACTCCTGACATGGGAAAAAACAACCATGAGTGAGCCTCAGTTCTTACATAGTAAGTTAAGATGGTTTGCAAAGCATACAAGATCCATGGACTGAGCAGGCCTTACCTTGACCGGGAGCTTTGCCAACATCACAAGGGCTCGCCAAGGCATTAAAATCTGCAGAAGGAACGCCAGTTAGTCCAGTTATAGATCATTCCCAGTATTGAGGGGTAAACATGAGATATAAATTAATACATTCTTACCCCTGCAGGCACTAGCGGTGAATATCTGGGTGGAAATGCCGGGGAGCACTGCACCCATGTGTAGAGTCCATGCACACCATCACTATCCTTTATTGCACTATTATTCCACTTTAACTGACGTGGCTTGTCCCACGGAATCATGTGATTGGCAATTAAAATACTCAGACAGTACAAGCACTAGAATTATTTAATAGTTACAATAATAATACCAAAATAATAATAATAATAATAATAATAATAATAATAATAATAATAATTGTGTGGTTTTGTGGCATTGTATATTTCTGACGCTTCTGTGATTTTTGTATTTTGATTCTGTAGCCCACTTGTCGATGGATGTCCAGAATCAGCAGCATCCACCGCAGACCTCAAAATCGAATGGCAAAGGCTCTCATTGCATCAACCAGTCCAGGTGGTCCCAGTGGGAATAATGGGCGTACTGGGTGCCATGCCAAAAGATCTCAGCCGGCATTTGGAAACAATACACATCGACAAAATCACGCTCTGCCAACTGCAAAAGGCCACCTGACTTGGATCTGCACACATCATTCGGAAATACATCATACAGTCCTAGATGCCTGGGAAGGGTTCGACTTGTGATTTTGTGATACGAAATCCAGCAGAGAGATCTCGTTTGCTGTGCTTTTGTGTCAATATAAATAACAACAACAGCAATAATACCATAGACTCATCATAGAGTTGGAAGGGACCCTCAGAGACCATCTAGTCCAACCCCAAGCACCATCAAAGCACTCCCGACAGATGGCCATCCAGCCTCTGAATAATAATAATAATAATAATAATAATAATAATAATAATAAATAGAGTTGGAAGTGACCGCAAACAAATTGAAAATGAATCCAGACAAGACAGAGGTACTCCTGGTCAGTCGCAAGGCCGAACAGGGTATAGGGTTACAGCCTGTGTTGGATGGGGCCGCACTCCCCCTGAAGACGCAGGTTCGCAGCTTGGGTGTGACCCTGGACTCATCGCTGAGCCTGGAACCCCTGGTTTCGGCGGTGACCAGGGGAGCATTTGCACAGCTAAAGCTTGTGCGCCAGCTGCGCCCGTACCTTGGGAAGTCTGACTTGGCCACGGTAGTCCACGCTCTGGTTACATCCCGTTTAGACTACTGCAACGCTCTCTACGTGGGGTTGCCTTTGAAGACAGCTCGGAAGCTCCAACTCCAACGCTCGGCAGCCATGATTTTAACAGGAGCGGAGCGCAGGGAGCATACAACCCCCTGTTGCGCCAACTCCACTGGCTACCGATCTGCTACCGGGCTCAATTCAAAGTGCTGGCGTTGGCCTTTAAAGCCCTAAACGGTTCCGGCCCAAGCTACCTATCCGACCGCATTTCTGCCTATGAACCCACCAGGACTTTGAGATCTTCCGGGGAGGCCCTGCTCTCGATCCCGCCTGCTTCTCAAGCACGGCTGGCGGGGACGAGAGATAGGGCCTTCTCGGTGGTGGCTCCTCGGCTGTGGAACGCCCTTCCTACGGACATTAGACTAGCACCATCTCTAATGGTATTCCGCAAAAAGGTGAAGACCTGGATGTTTGTGCAGGGGTTTGAGTAATTTAGTGCAATCTGGTAATGGAACATAGGAATGGAACAATGGACGACGAACCTGGACTACGCTTGGATGATGAGAAGATTGGGTACGGTTGTTTTTTGTAATAATTGTGCATTGTAACTGCTTATTGGTAATTTATGGATAATGTGTTAAGTCAATTGTCAATATGTTGTATGGAACCACTGCTGTTTCTACTGTTTCTACTGTTTGTGAACCGCTGTGAGTCGCCTTCGGGCTTGAGATACAGCGGTATATAAGCAAAGTAAATAATAAATAAATAATAAATAATAATAATAGAAAATACATCACACCTTCCTCGACTTGTGATTTTGGGATACAAAATCCAGCCTAGAGATCTCGTTTGCTATGAAATACTGTGCTTTTGTATCAGAAAACAAAACAGAATCAAGGAACTGAATGAAGACATGGGCTGGAGCTGCACTGCCATACAGTCCAGTTTCTGAATCCAGATTATCTGCTTTGAACTGGATTATATGAGCCTATACTGCCATATAATCCAGTTCAAAGAAAATAATCTGGATTCAGAAACTGGATTGTGTGGCAGTCTTGAGGGGGTGATGGAGAAAATAAATATATTTGGAAGACCGGAGCTGGAGAGATCTTCGGTGCTCCTGGTGTTGCCTGCTGTCAAGGGAAACATCATGCGCATCAACACAAGGAGGAGGAGGAGGAGGAGGAATGGGCCATGAATACATACCAAGACAATGTCTTCCACTTTGGACCGGATGTGGAGCTGAGCATCCATCAAAACACACTCTTGTGTCCCGAGGAAGTCGGCGATGGCTTCTGAAAAAGTGGCCGCACAGAATAAATGGATCAATTCATCGGGCATTGACTGGCAGGAGAGACTCTCTCCCAAAGTCCCCTTTGCAAAGGAGAAGGCCTGTGCAGCCACCTCTAGCAGGCAACGGCAAACTTTGGCCCTCCAGGTGTTGGACTTCAACTCCCACAATTTCTAACAGCTACTGGCCCCTTCCCAACCTGGGGGTCAGGTCCCCTGGGTCACGAGGGGGTGTCAGAGAGGTCACCAAAGACAGTATTTTCTGTTGGTCATGGGGGTTCAGTGTGGGAATTCTGTCATTGGTGGTGCTCAGTATGCTCTTTGATTGTAGGTGAACTACACATCCCAGCAACTACAACTCCCATATGTCAAGGTCTATTTTCCCCAAACTCCACCAGTACTCACATTTGAGCATACTGAGTATTCGTGCCAAGTGTGGTCCAGATCCATCATTGTTTTGAGTCCACAGTGCCGTTGTAGGTGAACTACAACTCCCAAACTCAAGGTCAGTGCCCACCAAAAACTTCCAGTCTTTTCTGTGGGTCATGGGGGTTCTGTGTGGGAAGTTTGGCCCAATTCCATCATTGGTGGGGTTCAGAGTGCTCTTTGATTATAGGTGAACTATAAATCCCAGCAACTACAACTCCCAAATGTCAATGTTTATTTGCTCCAAACTCCACCAGTATTGACATTTGGGCAGATTGAGTATTCATGCCAAGTCTGGTCCAGAGCCATCATTATTTCAGTCTGCAGTGCTCTCTGGATGTAGGTGAACTACAACTCCAGAACTCAAGGTCAGTGCCCACCAAACCCTTCCAGTATTTTCTGTTGGTCATGGGAGTAGTGTGCCAAGTTTGGTTCAATTCCATTGTTGGTGGAGTTCAGAATGCTTTGATTGTAGGTGAACTATAAATCCCAGCAACTACAACTCCCAAATGACAAATCAATCCCCCCCCCACCCCACCAGTATTCAAATTTGGGTGTATCGAGTATTTTTTCCCAATTTGGTCCAGTGAATGACAATCCATCCTACATGACGATTCATAACAAGGAGCAAAATGACAGTTATGAAGTAGGAACAAAAATAATGTTCTGGTTGGGGTTCACCACCACGTGAGGAATGGTCTAAAGGGGTTGTGCAACTAGGAAGGTTGAGAGCCCCCGTCCTACATCTCCAAAATGCAGAAGCATTTAAGAATCAGGGACAGAAACGCCCTCTCAAAAATTCTACCAGAAGAACCAAGGATGTATTGTCGAAGGCTTTCATGGCCAGAATCACTGGGTTGTTGTAGGTTTTTCCGGGCAGTATGGCCATGGTCTAGAGGCATTCTCTCCTGAACCAACCTGGACACGGCAGATTATCTGAGAACACAGAAATGCGGACCACTCTCACAACCACCATGTCAGGCTACACAGAGAAGCCATTGAAATCCACAAGAAGCATGTGGACAATTTCAACAGAAAGGAGGAAACCATGAAATGAACACAATCTGGCTACCAGTATTAAAAAAAACTCTAAAATTACAACAGCACAACAACAGAGAGGTAACAAACAAGGACATCTAATCACCTCTCAACAAAAGATTGCCCCAAGCACTGCCAGGCCATCAAATGCTAATCAAGGTGGTCAGTTGAAACATTCACACCTAGCTCCAGCAGACAAGAGTCCTTTGTCCCACCCTGGTCATTCCACAGATATATAAACCCCTTTTTCCTAGTTCCAACAGACCTCACTACCTCTGAGGATGCTTGCCATAGATGCAGGCAAAACGTCAGGAGAGAATGCCTCTAGACCATGGCCATATAGCCCGAAACATTCACACCTAGCTCCAACAGACAAGAGTTCTTTGTCCCACCCTGGTCATTCCACAGATATATAAACCCATTTTCCTAGTTCCAACAGACCTCACTACCTCTGAGGATGCTTGCCATAGATGCAGGCGAAACGTCAGGAGAAAATGCCTCTAGAACATGGCCATATAGCCCGAACACACCTAGCTCCAGCAGACAAGAGTCCTTTGTCCCACCCTGGTCTTTCCACAGATATATAAACCCTTTTCCTAGTTCCAACAGACCTCACTACCTCTGAGGATGCTTGCCATAGATGCAGGCGAAACGTCAGGAGAGAATGCCTCTAGACCATGGCCATATAGCCCGAAAAAACCTACAACAACCCACTGATTCCGGCCATGAAAGCCTTCGACAATACATGAAATACATTAATTTCTTTATGTTTTTTGGGGCACTTTTTGCATTTTCATGGGAACATCTAATCACCTCTCAACAAAAGATTGCCCCAGGCAATGCCAGGCCATCAAATGCTAATCAAGGTGGTCAGTTGAAACATTCACACCTAGCTCCAGCAGACAAGAGTTCTTTGTCCCACCCTGGTCATTCCACAGATATATAAACCCATTTTCCTAGTTCCAACAGACCTCATTACCTCTGAGGATGCTTGCCATAGATGCAGGCGAAACGTCAGGAGAGAATGCCTCTAGACCATGGCCATATAGCCCGAAAAAACCTACAACAACCCAGAACCAAGGATGTTTGTGGCGTCCTGCCCGGGCCATGTGGCGTGAACGCCTCTGCTTACCGTGCAGTGGTGCTGGGCCCTCGTGGAAGGCGGAGGAGGCCATCTCCTGAACCTTGTCTCGGGAGGAGCCCAAGGCTGTTGGCAAACCCCGCTAGAAGGAAGCCATGCTTCCACCAGGTTGGAGCAGCCACCGAGGTGGGTGGCGGATGCTCGTGCGTTCTATCTCCTCTTCATCTCAAGGTGCCTCTTCCTGTCTGCTGCTGCTCACCTCAAAGAAACATCCTGAGCAAGCAAGAGGCGGGAAACAGAAAGAAAAAGAAAGAAAGAAAGAAAGAAAGAAAGAAAGAAAGAAAGAAAGGCCAATGATTTGCCCGCGCAGCCAAGCATTGTTTGGTACTTGCAATGAGCCGTTGCTTATTCTTCTTGTACGTATTGGAAAGAATGTCATGTTGTTCATTCATTCAGTCGTCTCCGACTCTTCGTGACCTCCTGGACCAGCCCAGGCCAAAGCTCCCTGTCGGCCGTCACCACCCCCAGCTCCTTCAGGGTCAGTCCTGCCCATCTTGCCCTTGGTCAGCCCCTCTTCCTTTTGCCTTCCACCTTCCCCAAAGAATGTCCTACATGGCAGGAAAGGAGATCCCACATTAAGGTGAACTTCCTGACCTTAAGAGCCGTTTATTGACAATGCAACTAAGTTGGAGAGGCAACGAGAAGGCACACAAACACACAGCCACTCATTAAGTTGTGTTAGGATAACTCACATGTCTCATATATATAAACTAGCCGTCCCCTGCCACGCGTTGCTGTGGCCCACATGGGGGTTCTGTGTGGGGGGGTTGGCCCAATTCTATCATTGGTGGGATTGAGAATGCTCTGTGATTGTAGGTGAACTATAAATCCCAGCTACTACAACTCCCAAATGTCAAGATTCTATTTGCCCCAAACTCCACCCGTGTTCACATTTGGGCATATTGAGTATTCGTGTAGAGTTTGGTCCAGATCCATCATTGTTTGAGTGCACAGAGATCTCTGGATGTAGATGAACTACAACTCCAAAACTCAATGCCAGTGCCCTCCAAACCCTTCCAGTATTTTCTGTTGGTCATGGGAGTTCTGTGTGGGAAGTTTGGTTCAATTCTATCGTTGGTGGGATTCAGAATGCTCTTTGATTGTAGGTGAACTATAAATCCCAGCAACTA